CACTGGTTCATTTTGACTGGTTTTATTCTGCTTTATCCTCTTTAAAATCAAAAGAAAAGAAAATATCCAGGCTCTGGGTTAGGAGGCAGGAGACTATAGGCAGACTGGTGTTAGGTCTGCAGATAGCATATGTCACCCAAATCCCTGACAGATGCATAGCAGCCTGTTCTGCTGCCCACCATGGACAGGGTGAGCCTAGACCTCTGTATTCTATCATGTGTGTGCCTGGTGTCAGAAGTGACAAGGTACACTGAGAAATGGAAGCAGAAGAGAAAGATGACAACTCACAGATGAAGAGACTTGTTGTCACATGTGGGTGTTGAAATAGCTGTGGCTACCCATGCAAAGGAAAGTGGGAGATTGAGAATTGGAATTTACTTTAAAAAATTTACTTAAAAAATGACAGTTCTGAAACAGAGATATAAATTTCAACAAGGTGAATTTCATAGAGGAGCAGAGTCAGATGGAAAGGAAGTGGAAGGTCAGTATGAAATGTGCTGCAAACCCACTGTATGAGGCTGGTGCTATGCATGGGGATGTCTTCTCGTGCCCTCAGGACCCTGCTTGTCCCTCTGAGGACCATAGCCTTGGGCACACAGGGCCACTGCCCAGAAGGCTGTTTGTATCTGGGAGATATTAAGATGCCTCCACAGGCTCTCAGGAATACGGCTCATGGCAGTCTTACCAGAATGTTGTTAGTACCTTGGGGCCCACTGTGTGGCCAGGAAGAAAAGCTTTGTGACTAGTGTCCCACTGGGAACCTGTGGGTGAGACTACAGACAGGAGTACTGACTTCCAGCATGCACTTTGGAGAATGTTTTTAGACAAACATCTTGCCCTGTGTGTCTCCCATTAAAAGCAGAAAACAGAAAAGCAGGCATATGTGTGGGAGTAACAAAAGGGAGCTGAGTGGAGCCACTGGGGATGATGTCCTTCGGGCCTCACATGGCACACAACCAAATGCCAATCATTTCACCAGTGTGCCAGGCTCAGCATGGCTGGCCAAGTGTGACCATGCAGCTGTTATGAGTCTCAGCAGTCCAGATGTATGTTGTCCTGTGGAATTTTCCACCTTGGGTTAATGCCTTCTTTATAATAAGCAGGAATAAATTCACACAGGCTGGTAAGCCCAGCTGGGTGTGGGCCAAGGACAGCATGCTGAGCTGAGGAAAGCCTGTGACACGCTCACAGCAATGTCACAGCTTAAAGCAATGTCACAGCAAAGACATTGCCCTTTGCTTTTGTCCTCTAAGATACTCTGTCCATGAGGCCTCCCAAGGTGTGCTCACCTGGCTGGGAGGCAGTGTTCCCGGGCCACAATAGCCACACGTCTCTCAGAGTTGCTGATGGGCTCGTTGATCAGCCTGGTGCTAACGTGTCACTTGGATGCCTTCAGTGTCCTCTGAGAAGAGGTTTTCCCCTGCAGGGTCCATGGACAAAGGGACATTCTCACTCAGACAGAATCCCCAGGATAAGGGGGGCAGGTGAAAGTGTGGCTCAGAACACCCCAAAGCTACCAAGGCTTCATGCTGTTTTCTCCAGCATGGGACAAGGCTTCTCCATCAGGGATCTGGGATTCTGGTGGAGAAACTGGCCATAAATAAGAGTGAACATGGAGATAGCAAACACACTAAAACAAAGAAGCAAAAGGGCAGGTTAAAAATGTGCCACGGGTGGGGAGAGGATGGCCTCACTGGAAGAGGTGACATTTAAGATGAAACTGGAATGGCAAGCAGGCCCTAGCTACCCAGGAGGAGACCAAGGCTCTGAGCTAGTCACTCAGGTCATGTGGAGCATCGGATTTCTTCTTAGGAACAATGAGAAACTGGTGACAGATTTTAAGCAGGAGAATAATGTGGTATGTGATCTGATTACACAACTGTGAGATGTCCTGAGAGCTTTGTGGATTGTGGGGACAGCTTCTGGAATTAGGGAGGTCACAGGACAAGGAAGTGATAACAGGGCCTGTATGGTGGCTGCAGAAGACTTGTAAAGCATGTGCGTGAGGGCTGAGTGGCAGCAGAGACCCAAGATGATTTCAGGAATTTGTCTGAGGATGTGGATGGTAGTGGAAAAGGCCACTTGGATGTGACGTGCGGTGCATAAGTCATAATTGACTGTAGCAAGTTAGGATGCCCATCAGAGAAGGCTGAAGAGGCTAAAGTCAGGAGACCCCTCAGGAGTGTTTCCTGGGCAGGTGACACTACCTTTCCTATGAAGGCAGAAAGGCCCTCTGAGCCCCAACCTGACAGCTGATCACTGCCCACCAACCCAAAGTCTGACAGAAACCTTCCCTCCTCTGCCTCACCCTCCGTATGCAGCTTACCACATGCAGCACTGAGGCACTCTCCTGCCCTGTCCCCTCAACCTGGAACCAAACTGCTCCTCTGGTCTCATAGGCAGGGATCCTCCTCCCCCCCACCCAAGGATTTTTCCCAGATACAAAACTTTCATGTTAATATCTCGTTAACTTACTTACGGATGCTGCATTGCAATCTACTTGTGTGGTCTACAGGTTTTGATTTATAGAATCTTTTAAAAGTCGTGGAAAATTTCAACACACTCAAAATAGGCCAGTATAAAGAACCTTCATGCATCCATCCCCCAGCCTGGAGAAAGCATTTTTGAGTATTTTTGGTTGCATTTTGTTTTATAGTACTGGAGATTGAACCCAGGGCCTTCATATTGAGCTACATCCCAATTTTTTTTTTTAGACAGGTTCTTGCTAAGTCACTAAGTTGCCCTGGCTGGAATCAAACTTGGGATTCTCCTGCCCCAGCCTCCTAGAGTATTAGAATTCCAGAAGTATACTACTATGGCTATGCTGGGGTGAAGGCAGTGTTTTGAAGCACATCCGAGGCACCATGTCACCGCATCCTGACAAACCTCAATTCTCGACTGTGAGAACATAACTGGAATGCTCCTGCCAAGCCTTGATCATTTGATCGCTTGTTCATTTCCTGGGTCAGTCTTCTTTCCCTGATTGCCTCTGACACGATTTGTTAAACAAATCCTTTAATTAAAAGATTTGTTTTACAGGGTCTGAGTTAGGTCCAATAGTTTCTTTTTACTGTAAGTCCACCCCCTGCCCCACCATGCACCACTTCTTCCTTAAAATTTATTGATGAGATTATACTTGGATTGTGCTGTTTTGTGCAGCCTGGATAGTGCTGTGTCTGCTGTGCTGATGACCATGAGCCTCTCTGTTTGTATTTGCTGTAGGTTCAAATTCAGGACCAGAAGTCTGATCAAATTCAAGACTGTTGGGGCAGGAATCCTTCCTCAGTGCTGCTGTATTCTTGATCGGAAGGCACAGAACCTGGGTTATGGGACCACAGAATGTGTGTTTTGAAGTCCTCCACTCCTTCCTGGATCGTTTCAATGTCTTGCTCTTTGCTAGTCTCTTATCTACAGGAAATCCCCTCACTGGGATTATTCAGCAGTACCATCTGCAGAGAAAAGGCAGGATAAGTTCCTGACTCTTGGACTTTGCCAGTCTGCAGAATAATGAGTTGGTTCCCTCCTAGCGTCCCCTACAGGTGCCTGGAAACGTTTTCACATCACTTGAATTCATGGGTTTAAACACAAGAGACACATTTAATCCAATTACTTTTCTCAGTATCCTTTTGTAAAATTGAGAATTTCTTTATGAGATGTTCAAGCAATTGTAAATGAAGTGCAGAAAAGAATAACTGAGTAAAGTAGACAGCCACAACTCAGGAATATCCAGGCTTATTAGATCAGAATTCTCAAGACTTGGTACAGAGTACTCTTAGTTGAAGCTTTGTTCCCCACATTGGCTCCAAACTTCCAGGTTCAAGCAACCCTCCTGCCTCAGCCTCTGAAGCAGCTGGGCTACAGGCAGATGTCATTGCACCTGGAAGGGTCTCTGGGCCAGAAGTCCCTAACAGTTCATGTATTAAATAGGTAAATTCAAACAATAAATATTTATGCTGTGCAATTTATACTAGACATTTGAAAATGTGATACAAATAAAACTTAGAAACAACTTTTGGTGGTACAGGAATGGAACCTAGGGGTTTCTGAATAATGATGCCTCAAAAGATACTCATGGAACTCTGAGTGTCAGTTTATATGGCAAAGAAGGTGTCTGCAGATGTGATTAAGGACAGTGAGATAGGGACATTGTCCTGGCTTCTCTTGGAATGTAGTCACATTTGTCTCTGTAGAGGAAGATTTAACACAACAGATGCCACATGACCATGAAGGCACAGATTGGAGTGATGTAGCCACAAGCTTAGGATTGCCAGAAGTCACTTGCGGCTGGACAGGACAAGGATAGTCCTCCAGAGTAGAGTAAGTCTGCCCTGCTGACACCTGGGTTTCAGGCGTTTAGCCTCTAGAACTGGGAGGTCAGTTTCTGTTGTTGTAATCTATCAAATAATTTGTGGCAATTTTTGTAGCTGCATCAGGGAATAAACATACTTAGAAAGTCAGAGATTCTGAAAAGAAATGACTGGGCCAAGCCCTGGACCTGCAGCCTTACCTTTCCCCAAAGGTGTCACAGGCCTAACAGCCCCAATGCTGCAAGGCCCAAATCCCTTTCCAAACCCCCAACTTCTTGCCAAGTTGCCTATGGCCAAAATCAGGAAGGCAGTGCTAAGTGGTAAGAGTCCCAGGCCATGTCTGGCTGCTGTGAGGCTTCACTTGCAACATATGTCTGGACTTGGCCTTTGGTTGACTCCAAGGTGACCTCAAGGTCCCCAGACTAGAGATAGGCAGACTGTTAAGTATAGGCCAGCCCTGCCCTCAGCCACACACTCAGTGTGTCTTGGTAGGAATAACATATGATGAGCAAAGGACCCTATCAGACAGTTTATAGCCAAGTGCAAACACGATTATCAGGTACTGCTCTTAGAGCAGCAAGGAGCCCGTCTGGTGTAGTTGGCACGTGCCAGCAGCCCGCCCAGCCACATAGGCAGTTGCATAATTTGGTGCACACAGACCAACCAGGCATACGTGTACTGGGGGTGGTCTGGGCTTCCTGAACCTTTAAAAGGCCCAGCAGGACCTGCTGTACCTGTGTCGATACTGGAGCCTCAGCAGCTCCCCAAAGCCTGAGTGCTGTTTTTCTTCAAACTAACTTGTGTAAATTATCTTTTTCCTTAGGGCAGCAAAAGAATATCCCAGATTCTTGGGTGAATTCCTGTTGCTTCTGCAGACCACTTTGGGTGAGTGCTAGGCTTGGTCAACTCTGAGTTCTTTAAAGTAACTGGCCAATCTGGGGGCAGGGAGGGCAGCTCAGGGGTGGATTCCACCAATGCAGCAGGGTCTGCTTGGGCAAGTGCCAGTCCTTGTGGGCTCTGGTGCCATAGTTGCCTTAGGCTGGCATTGTTTCCAAGGCTGGTTTCCAGGAAAAAAGAGAGGGGAAACCCAGGGTTCTCCCTATGACACTTGGTATTTGTCTCTTTGAATGGTGTGGTGAAAGAACTGAGCATCTGCTAAGCTGTGTTCTAACACAGATGTGGGAATAGGTTACCCCAACCTTGGGCTGCAGAAGCTCCTGCCAAGCTGGGTGAAGATGCCTGGGCCATGTCTCACTGCTTCTGTATCCGACACTCTCTCAGGATAATGGGTACAAGGCTGTTGGCAGTGCTGTTTGCCCTAGCTGGCTTGCTGCAGGTAGCTGCGCTCCTGAAAATTGCAGCTTTCAACATCCAGAGTTTTGGGGTGACCAAGATGTCCAACACTACCCTCTCCAGCTACATTGTGCAGGTAAGTCCAAGGTGGGCCAACCCTAAGGAGAGACCTCAGAGGGAGAGGATAATGGGCCCCAGGAATGCAGGGCAGCCCTGTGGAGCCACAGGCTGCATGTGGGGTATTAAGAGCTTTTGGTTTCAGGCCTCAACCATAGTGGGTGGACATTAGTCAGGGTTGTGGCTGCTGACCCAGGGTCTTGGTCACTACCATGTTGTCAGTGGCTGCAAACCAGGGAGGGCAAAGTATAGGGCTGTGGGATGAGCTATACGACGAAAATACCCTAAGGAGTAGCAACTGTGGCCCTCCGGGGAATAGGGACTGCAGCTTCCACCCAGCCTGGCCCTGCTCAGGCTGCTGTGGCCCTGCCCCCCAGATCCTGCGCCGCTATGACATCGCCCTCATCCAGGAGGTCAGAGACACTCACTTGACGGCTGTAGGGAAGTTGCTGGATGAACTCAATAGGTGGGTGACAGTGATGGGTGCTAGGGGAGGTGAATACCATATCAGGGCACAGCCTTTCTTCACTTGGGCCCCAGGGACAGGGGACAGGGCCCTGACAAGGCTTTTTGTTTCCTCCATCCAGGGACGCACCAGACACCTATCGCTTTGTGGTCAGTGAACCGCTGGGTCGCAACAGCTACAAGGAACAGTACCTTTTTGTGTACAGGTGAAGCCCTGAGCTGATGTGGCCTGCAACAGCAAGGATCAGGCTGTGGGGAGGACTAGAGAGGATAATGAGGCCATTCCTTGCCTGAGGGTCCCAGCAGGGTGAGGACAGACAGAATGCAAGGCCACAGGCTGTGGCCCAGGCTGGAGTTGGACTACCACTCCAGTCTCCATCCAAGTGGAGTGAGCTGGCTCCTCCTGCTGTGCAAGGCAACAGTTCTCTGTGAGCAGCCCAAAGGAGCCGGGCCAGTACACAGGTAGGAGGAGCGCCTCCCAGCTACAAGGTCACCTCTGCTGCCTGGCTTCCTTACAGGCCTGACCAGGTATCTGTGTTGGACAGCTACCAATATGATGATGGCTGCCAGCCCTGTGGGAATGACACCTTCAGCCGTGAGCCTGCCATTGTCAGGTTCTCCTCCCCACTTATAAGTGAGTGTGCTTAGTAACCTGTCCAAACTTTCTTGGGGTGCACAGAAAACCTGGGGTGGTGAAGTGGTGCTGTCTTAGGCACTCTGCTGGGAAGCTTGCTGTCCTAGTACTCTGGTTTTCCACTCAAGTTACCTAGGACAGTGAAAACACCCTGGGGAACTATTGTGACTGTGGACTCCAACAAACCCTGACTACTGAGTGTGCCCTCTCTCCTCAGAGGTTAGAGATTTTGCCATCGTGCCCTTGCATTCAGCTCCAACAGAAGCAGTGGCTGAGATCGACGCTCTCTATGACGTCTATCTAGATGTCCGGCAGAAGTGGGGCCTGGAGGTGAGGCTGTCTTGAGGCCCCTGGGCTTTCATGGCCCCATTAGACCCTGAGCTAACAGGCAGGTATTTCCTGGCAGGATGTCATCCTGATGGGCGACTTCAATGCTGGCTGCAGCTATGTAACCTCCTCGCAGTGGTCCTCTATCCGCCTACGTACAAACCCCGCCTTCCAGTGGCTGATTCCTGACACTGCTGACACCACAGTGACATCCACACACTGTCCCTATGATAGGTGAGCAGGAATCTGGTGGGCATGATGGACACTTGCCTAGTCCCAGAACTGATCACCTAGACTTTGGATACTGACACCTTGAGCTTTCATTCAGCCACTGAGGAAGTTGATGTCTTAGTTTTTGGGAAAAGTATGTTTAGGGACAAAGGGCAAGGGAGAAACGCAGGTTCTCATAGGGTCATCTTTCCTCTTTTTATTTTTGGTACTGGGAATCAAACTCAGGACCTTGTGCTTGCCAGGCCAGTACTCTGCCACTGAGCTGTATCCCCAGCCCTGTCTTTCTCTTCTGAATGGTCTCAGGGTGTGGGGTGGTAGGCTCCATCTGGGCTGGCTCAAGCAAAGTCTGAGTCAAAGCCCACTGGTTGTAGAGAGGCCACTGACCAGGCCAAGTGTGTCTGAAGAGAACCTTCTCTCCCATCCCTCGCCCTGCAGGATCGTGGTTGCGGGATCTCTGCTCCAAAGCAGAGTTGTTCCAGGCTCCGCTGGTCCTTTTGACTTCCGGGCAGCATATGGATTGACTAAACAACTTGTAGGTGTCCTTCCTTCACATTTTAGTTCAGCTGGGACATAGCGGCTTGGTGCCCCAAATGATTTTTGGTGTGCTGCTTTCTGTCATGTCTCAACAACACAGACGTAGCTTTTCACTCTGCAACTCTGCTGGGTTTCGGGAATAGTTTGGGTACAGTCCTCCTCCACCTGCTCCTTCTCTTGGGAAGACTGGCAACATGGTTCTAGATGCAAGAACCAGATGGTTTGGGTTAAAGTCCTGACCCTGTGGCCTCCCCATATTGTATATCTCTCCCAGGCTGAAGCCATCAGTGACCATTACCCAGTCGAAGTGACGCTGAAAGCAGCCTAACACACGTGGTAGCTGATGACGCACAGCATGGAAGGTATAGTGCCCCTTCCCCCCACTTTGGTGGGGACACCAAGAATGGGGCTGGCACTGCAGCACTCTACCTTCTCAGAGCCTGAACTAAAGAGCTAACATGGATGAAGAAATATATTTTAATTAAGATAAATAAAGCTCAAGATGGTAGTATTTCCACGGTATCTAGTCTTTCCTCTCCATGTACAGGGGTCACTTTCTGAGGCACACAGTTCTACCTGTCCTCGGGACTGTACCTCAGATCGCAGGAGCAGCTGCTTTTGACCGTCAGTGTTTTTCCAGGGCCTTGACGAGAAGGTCATTCAGGCGGCCCACCATGGGCCTGGGATCATCAACAAGGCCTGCTGCAATCATGGCGTTTTCATAGATCTGAAAGGCAGGTTGGACACTGTGGAAAGGAGGGAAGGGGACCCAAAAAACAGAGACAAAGAAGGAGAACCACTCCCAACCCTGATTTCCCCCCACCTCCTCTCACCTGATCAACAAGCAGCTGAGCCAGTTCTGGCTCATGCTCTCTCAGCTCACTGAGCTTCCTGATGAGTGCATGCCTATAATGGGAAATCATGGACCAGTCAGCTTGGGCCAGGCACCAGGACCTCCACTTTCATGTCCCAGCCACCTGGGACATGTCAGTTAACAGACCATTCTACAAAGTGCAAATGGTTTGTCAAATACAAAAAGGTACATAAAAATTAGCTGTAAGAGACCTTTATATAATATGATTCTATATACTGAAAGCCTGAAGGAATCAGTTCAAAATTTCAGTATTAGGAAATACAGGAAGGAGGACATGCAACAAAACATATTCTAAAAACACTTCATAGTTTCATCTGTGCAGGCCATAAAGGTGAAACTTTCCTCAATCCAGTTGATTCATTTATATTAACAGATTATGTTAAACGTTTTCAGAAAACAATTAGGTTGGATTTCTACCTTATTCCTTAATCAAATTTCTGGAGAAGTTAAAGGTACAAATTTAAATCATAAAAACATAGTATTTTGTTGTGGGTAGAGCGGCTGCCTAGCACGTGCAAATCCCCAGGTTAGATCACACTGCTGCCAAAAATTAATAAATAAAACCATAATACTAGAACAAGTAAGAAACGTTTTGTAATTTCAGAAGGAGAGACTTTCCAAATAAAATGGGGGTATGCCTTTGGAGGGGCTGTTAGGACCCCAGCTCGTTCTTGTCATACTTTGCTTCCTGGCTGCCACGAGGGAAGCAGCTTCAGTCCACCCTGTACTCCCTCACCTGATGCTATGCTTCATGACAACTGACCTTAGCATGAAACCTTTGAATCTGTAACCCAAAATAAGTGTTTTCTGCTTTTAAATTATTTTTAAGGTATTCTGTTCATAGTGATGGTAAGCTAGCAGTCATCCAATTGCATATGAGCTTCCCGTAACTTTCCTCAGTCTTATAATCCACAATGAAAAATGAACACATCTACGCAGATGTGGTGGCTCACACCTATAATGCTAGCACTCAGAAGGCTGAGGCAGGAAGACTGGTTTGAGTTTGAGGTCAGCATTAGCTACATAGTGAGTTCAAGGTCAGCCTGAACTGCATGGAAAGACCCTGTCTCAAAAAACAAACAAACAAAAACAAAGCCCCAAACCAACACATCCCCCATATGGGACTGGACCCCTGGCAGGTCAGAAGAAAACTTGGGCTATACCCAGGGTTGATCTCCAAAGTGGGCTGTAGGAGCTGCGCACGCTCCTCCTGGGTCTTGGCTAGCTGCTGCATACGCAGGAAATGCCGGGCGGCCCCCATCTCTAGCACAGTCACCATGGCAGGGTGGGTGTCCAGGCGGAGAGTCACCTGCAAGCAGAGTGAAGTTGAGAGGGACCTCAGTGGTGAGGGACCAGGGGCTTGCAGGGTCTTAACCAGGAGTAGTTTTCCTAGATCTTTTTTTTGGGGGAGGTGGGGGTGGAGATTACTGGAATTGAACTCAGGATCTTGCACTCTAGGCAGGCACTGTGCTGCTGTGAGCTATATCCCTGGCCCTATCCCAGGTCAATGAGAAGGCAGGGTCTCCAGCATAGCCTGAGGCCAACCTTGCTCCCTCTCTCACCATCATCTACATCAGCCAGGGTGGGGACTCCTGCCTCCTCCCACAAAGTACGGAAGGCCTGTCTTGCCTACACTCTTTTCTAAGGGTCCCCAACATTGGTGGTACGGAATCTGGCTTCCTGGCTTGGGCCAGAGAATCATCCTGCCACCAGCCCAGCCACCAGGAAAGAGTCAACTTGAGCTGTGACTCAAACCCCAGCTCCCTTATGTCTAGCTGTGATCATTTCATTAAATTGGAGACAACAGTTACCTGAGGCCCAACAATGTGGAATCAGTAAAGCAGGATGCTGTGTGTTACAGAGGCTAGAGCTATCACAGAGTCCTGTCTGCTTACCTGGCCAGCAATTTCTCTCTTCTAGCCAAGGCTGCCTCCTGGGCCTACCCTAGCCCAACCTGCATACCAGCCTCTTCCTTGGGGCCACTCCTACATATGGCCCTGAACTAAGATACCCCTCTGTTGGTGCAATTTTTGTTCTGAGCTAGACTAGCAGGTGCTGAGCTTTCTGAAACTCACTTGGAAACCCACTCTAAGCCTCCAAATCAGAATATAAACTCCCCTCAAACTAGGGTGGCATGTCCCTTCTTTGAAGGTCCATTTCAGCCACTGCAGCTCCTATAGAGTCCAGAGTTAGGTGGGCCCCAGAGCCTCCTTCTCTACTTCCTCAGCTCCTGGTACTGTGGGAAATGAGAAACAAGCCCCACTCTTCCTGCCTCAGCAGGCTTCTGGGCTTCCCACAGCCATACATATGTGCAAGAGAGGGGATGTATGGCCCCACACAAGCATGGAAACAGGGGCCTACATGGGTCTCCACCTGACATCACAGGCTTGTGCTTCTGGGGAAAGGCCCACCGGGACAGGAACTTAGAGCTGCAGCAGGCCTGTGATGGACACCTAGAATCATGGAGCCAAGGTGGCAGACCATCCAAGGAAGGTCTTACCTTCACATTGGCGACTCTCGATCCCAGTATATTTCGCATCCATGCCATCAGCTCCTCAGTCTCCTTCTCAGATAGGCGCTCACCAGCTGCAGAAGAGCAGACATGAGCAAGCCCAGGGGCCATGGCCTGCAGCCTTGCTGCAAAGACATGTCCCAAGGACTCTCCCACCTGCATGAACAGAGACAAGCACCAAGTAATACATTTCATCCTCAGAAAACTTCAAGAAGTTGCTTTCCATTGCTTGTACTCCATGTAATTTTTTTCCGGGCCTTAAAAGTCAGTTTTACCAGGGATGTAGCTCAGTGGCATAAGTGTCTGCCTGGCAAAAGCAAGGTCCCCAATTCCCAGTACCAAAAAAAAGTCGATTTGGTTTCTCTCAGGAAGCTTGGTCAACTACGAAGCCACTGTGAAAGCAGCAGTAGAAGAACTCCTGGGATCCAATGGGTGTTTGTTTTTTTGTTTTTTTGGTACTGAGAACTGAACTCATGACCTTGTTTGCCAGGCAGACACTTCTGCCACTGAGCTATATCCCTGGCCCTACCTAATGTTTTCCATGAATAGTTTCCAAGCAGCTTCTTTCATAGGTTGTGTGAATCCATGGGCAGGCTGAAGAGGCCCTACATGCTGTAGAGAGGTAAGGAGCTGACCTGGGGATGAGTTCTCAAACTTCTCTTCCTTGTAATGATCAACAACTATATCTGTCTCCACAGAAATAAGCTTCTTCTTGTCAAACTCACGAAGGTGCAGCAAGGTGAGCTCATCAAACTGCTCGTAGCAGAAGAGGACCTGCGGATACCCAGACTCCATCAGGCCCACGGCCAAAGAACAGATAGCCCTTGGGGATGCTGGGGGCTTTTAAACTTGAGTGACAGTTTACCCAAAGGTTCTGAGGGAGGTTATAGCTGTCTGGGCAGCAGAAACACTGTTCATGGACAAACCTACCCGTCACCACCGGTGAGAAATGCAGTCACTTTGGAGGCAAAACCCTGCCTTGTACCATGTTGCCTTCCAGACCCTGAGCCTGTTTTCCACTAAGCACAGAGTTGGGGACTTTGAATCTGTCTCTCATTGTGCAGACCCCAAGGGCAGCCCGGTGCCTCACCAACCTCTGTGCTTTTCTTCTTCATAGCCTCATAGTAGGGTGAGTGCTCGGCCAGGTGCCGGCTAGGGGCACACAGGTAGTAGATGTTGCGGGTGCCTGCTTGCATACGGCTGGCGTAGTCTGACAGGCTGGTCAGCTGCCCAGCGGGCAGTGCTGAGGACTCGTAGCGCAGTAACTTTGCAATGTCCTCCTGCAGACAGATACAGGGAAGGTCACTGGCAGTTCCAAGTCCTGACTCTGAGTATCTTCTGCCCCATGGGTCACAGCCCTTCTGGAGTCCAGGGTTTCCAGCTCTCTGAGGGCAGTGGTAGATTCAGAACATCCTTGCTCTGCCCGAGACCCCATCTGAAGACCCAAAGGCCCTCTGGAAATATCATCTTTTTCAGGTGTCTCTGGGCCTGAGGGCTGTGTATATCCCGTCTCTGAGTGGCCAAAGCCCTCCATGGTAAACTCTGTTCCTAACCCAGTGTTTTCACTCTGTCCTCATTTCAATCCATGTCGGTACCTGGACAAGGGCATGAAGTCCACTTTTCCTTGCCTCCCTCACAGCCAGTGGTGGCTGGAAAAAAGTGAGGTTTAAGTTCCAGTGAGCCTAAGGGTTCAAGTGAGACTGCTGGGGTTTGTATGGGCTATGCTGGAAGGACAAGGAACAAGTTGACAGCCTGGTCCTTGGTGTCACCAGCCTAGACACTGCCTTATCCAAGCCCTGTCACCTCTAAAGTCATGGCACAGAGGAGTGGTAAGGAGTGTGGAACTTGGGGAAGGAGTATGTAGGACACTCAGGGAAAGTTTCAAATGAAAGTGCTATGCCTGGGACTCAGGTGGGACAGAGGCAGACAAAGAGAGGGAACAACAAGGATCAGGAAGCACCTAGTGAGGATCCATGGGCACCGCTTGGTCCTTACTGGTAAGCTTCCATGTGTTCCACATGTATGAAGCACTTGAAAAAGGGCCTTGATACAGTAAATACTACCAGCTGCTATTAAGTAAAAACAAGACAAAGGAGAAGCAATGGGATCTAATAAAGGCCAGTACAACGAGCTTCTGGAGTCAGGGTGACCTGGAAGAAAAGCCAGTGAGCTTCCCTCAGGCAGCTGGCACTTTACCCCACCTCTTCTCATGGCCTGAAGCTTGACCTCCATGAGACCTCAAATGTTTGGTTGCCTCCCTTCCCTTGCTGCTATCTGGGAGGGCAAGTGTAAGGGATCATCATGGTACCAGCCAAGACCAGCTGCGAGAGAGAGAGAGAGAGAGAGAGAGAGAGAGAGAGAGAGAGAGAGAGAGAGAGAGAAGACAGAGACAGAGACAGAGACAGAGTGTGTGCGTGTGTAGAGCTGTGTAGCTGCTCCTATACAATGAAAGATGTTCTGGAACAAGACAGTGGTGGACTCTGCACAGCACTGGGGATATCGCAAATGTCACTGAATTCCAAAAGGACGACATTAATGGATTTCATGACATACAAATGATATCTCAAATCAGTCAACAGGCCAGGCATGGTGGCACATTCCTATAATCCCAGCACTCAGGACACTAAGGCAGGAGGATTGCCATGAGTTCAAGGCCACCCTGAGCTACACAGTAAGACCCTGTCTCAAAACAAACAAACAAAAACAATAAACCATAGCTAAGGATCTTCAGGGAATTAACATACCATTTTTTGGCTATGAACTGCATGATTAACTGAACTACTGGCTCCTGTAGCATAGTATTAAAGACTTCTACCAGTCAGACGATATCCCTAAAGAAAACTGTACTCCCTTCCTTATCCCGAGGGCTCACATTCTTTGACTTACAATGCCTTTCTGTGGTGTGTCTAACCCCCCAAGATAGTGTGTACCCTCTTCCTGGCAACTTCTGGGTCAGATAAGAGAGGCTCAGTCCTTTAGTCATGAGCACAGGATCTGTGGGACAAGGGTATAGGCATATGAGGATTATGTGCTGGGCCTGATCACTAACCCTGTCAGCAGTGGTCAGGGGCCCTACTGCTCTATGTTCAAGGAGGCCTCCACTAGCTTCCTCTGCAGCCCTACAGCTGAGGCAGACAGAGAAAGGTTCCAAACTCAGTTTGACAGCTGGGCATGGTGACACATACCTGTAATCCCACAGAAAGCAAAAACAAAAAACAAAAAAACCCCAGTGCACTACCTTGACCTCCTGTTCTGCGGTGGTCACAATGCCCTCCCTCATGAATAAGCCGTAATCTTCAAAAAACTTTGCATATTTCTCAGCATCTTTTTTACTCTGGTCAATGAAGAACTTTATTAGCCTTTGCTGCAGAACATCCCGGAGCTTCCTACAGAAAAAGAGTATCTGTGATGCAAAAGAGCCACAAGAGTAGACATGTTCAGCCCACCTGTAAGCAAAGACCCAGGACAAGCAGTACCATTGGGACCAAAGTGAAAAAGAATGAGTTGAGGACTTCCTGTGGAGTATGCCACCTCCTGTAAGTGGGAATGCAGACTGGCACCCTTAGTGAGACCAACTGAGTCAGACACCTTGAAATTACTCTTCCTGTGCCAGTTTTTCTAGATGCAGGGATGGCACTTATGATCAGACTTTCACTGTAGCACATGAGATATAAATGATTATGAACAAACCTGGTGTTCAGGAAATGTAAATAACAGCTAGGAAAATCTTTTTTTTTTTTTTTCCTGTGCTGGGGATTAAACCCAAGGCTTTGTACATGCTATGTCTACATTCTAAGTTTTCATTATTTATTCTAGTCTCAAACTGTCCCTGACAGGTTTGAGTCCCTGTGAACTAGCTACTGTTCCTCTGACAAGTCTCCACAAATATGAGGACTTCTGCTGGCATGAGGTGGCCCAGGCTCTTCTGCTTTGGAACAATTCATTTGAGCCCATGGTTTGCCCTGGGGAGCTCTGGTTGCGCCAGTGGGCAGATTTGTGCTGGGATGCTGGAATGCTGGTTGCTATTGGGATGCCACTGCTGCCAGCCCTCCTGGTATGGAACTTATAAATACAAGTGTGCATGGGCAAGTGCACATCTCTGTCCACATTACCTACCAACCTCTCCCAATTACCTCCAATATTAAGCTGGTGCCACAGGGATACTCTGTTCTATGTTTGAAACACCCTTTTAATGTTGAAAAGCCTGTGCCTTGTTACAGCCTTATCATGGTTTTCACCTGTTTTGTTACCTCATATGATTACTTATTTGATCTATTCCCCTCCACATACCCAGTCTGCCAGGGCCATTGCCCTCCCTGTAGGGTCAGGCATCTGTTTGCCTGTGACACTCAGTGTCTGCCCACCTCCATGCATGTACTTTGTTCCTTCCTGGACTCTGACATTCCACTCAGCCCTCCTCTCCCCTGTGGCCCTAAGGGACACTTTCTCTGTGCTGTACCCTACAATGACATCCTGGGCTGCTGTAGCACCCTACAGGTGAGGACACCCATCCTGTCCTGCTCTTCTCTGTGCCTGAAGGACAAGTGGGATTCAGGATAGATCTATAGGAAGAAAAGCTTAAATAAAGTTAGGCATGATTGTTGTCCTGTGCTAGATTATTAAGGAACTATGCATGCTACAATTTAACTTTTGTAAAGGGAAGATAACGAATTAAGGAAACATATCTGTGATCCCATTAATAAACTTATTCCTAATTTTAGGCCTTTGGATGATCCTGGAATAACTATTCTGATCTGCAGAGAATTCCAACTCTGAAGGTTATAGTATCATGTAGTGCATTCAGAATAAATTCCATAGTAGTTGTTATGGATTAAGAACTGGTGGTCAACTTAATGCCAGCTGGATTACATCAGCATGGGCACTGAGCATAGATGCTCTACCTGAGGAAAGTTGCCAGCATAAATAGAGAGGGGGAGAAGGAGGGCATAAAGGTGTTAATGTGTTGTTGCATTGAGGTATTGTGGGTTCTCCTACAGCTGCTGTTTGAGCTGTTGGTTCTCCTGGAGAAGCTTTGGTCCTCACATGTTTTCTGCTTCTGGAAGGGAAGACGTGTGCTGCTCCAGGATGAACTCATCATGCTGGCTTCCTGCATGTACTAGACTGTGCTTGTCATTGGAGGAGTTCTGGGCCTCCATGTCACTGAAGATGGCTGTGGTACCTTTCAGGACAGCCCTGGTCTTTGCTGTGAGTGTGACTTTGCGGCTCAAGTGTAGAACCCTCATCCTACCAGCACAGCTCCTTCACTCCGCTAGCATGGACTTTCTGGCTTCCAACACTGAGCTTTGGGCCTTCCTGGCACAGATCCATAAAAGAGACTGGTGTGAGTCCTTCTTGTGGGCTCTGGATCTTGAGTTGGACTCGTGGGAGGCATTGTCTTGAGCTCTGGGTTTTCATCTGGACTCATGTGAGACACTGCTCTGCGATTTAGGCCTTGACTAAATATTCTATGTTTTTGGTGTTGCAGATAGATTTCCTAAATTTTCTTGTATTAACTCCTGGTGACCATTATAAACATAATATTATAAAATCCATGTCCTGATTCTAATTGTTCTCTGCACAACCCCTAACTACAACAGTAGTGCTCATATGTAGCACACAGGGCTGATCCTGAGTATTGTGAAGATACTCAGCCTTTACATGCATACGTGCTATGTTGTAATTTGTCTGTTCAGGAGTTTCCTCGTTTCTCTTTAACTAAAGGTACTTTAGTTCTCTTTTTAACTAAAGGTAATCCTTAGGATTATCAAAAGATGTGAGTATTAATGCCCAGGTAGTAGTGCATCAATCATTTTAGCCTGCTTCTTCCTTTGAACACTGGATTTGCTGGTGGTACTCAGTTTAAAGTACTTGCCTAGCATGTGTAAGCTCCTGGGTTCAAAGTTCAGTAACAGAAAAAAAAAATAAATACATAAGATTATTATCAATTAACAAAAAGAGGCCTATATACATTATAAAATTTTTTTTGGTACTGGGAATAAAACTCAGGACCTTGTGCTTATCAGGCAGATGCTTATGCCACTAAGCTATATCACCAGCCCCTAAAATATAAAATTTAAACATCATAATATACAGGTCTGAAAAAGATTGTGACCACTTCACATGACATTACCACCTCACATGATATTAATTATTAATTAAAGATAAAAGGAGAAGAGATCCAGGGATACAGCTCACTGGCACAGTGCAAGGTCCTGAGTTTAGTCTCTGGTTTAAAAAAAAAAAAAAAAAAAAGACAAAGGGGAGAATCACTAACCAGAAAAGCCTGGTAGACATTCCTTTAACCAAGTATATCAAACTGAATAGCACCAGCTACTGGTCAAGTGGAAAGATCATCCTTGTGCTCTTTTGCAAAAGCAATAGACAATCACAAATGCAGGGCCATGTCAGGGATGCCCGGCCTGGTCTCTGAAAGCCCAGGCTCTAGTCTTGGCTAACGGAAGGACCTATGGATGCTGGCATGGCTGCTCCTCCTCTGTGGGACAGCGATGGAGTCTGCACAGTCTTGAGGACAGACAGTGGTGGTGACGGTGCCTTACTGCACTTTGGTTCTGAGTTGTGCAAAGGCATCCCTTTTGATTTGAAATGCTGGCCACCTGGCAGTGGTGGGACAGGAGGAAGACACCTTGTTCTCCAAGAGAGCACAAAGAAAATGTTCTTTGCACGGTACTTTTCAACTTCTAAGCCTTCAATTCTTTAGATTCTTTCAAAACTTCCATAAAACCAGAGTTTTTGGATTAAGATGAGATCTTCGATTGACAATCTGACAACACATGTACTTACAAGGTGGCCAGACACCACTCCTGCAGCATGGCACGGCAGACAGCCCAGCTCCATGTGCTAGGCTATAGCCAAAACATACAGGTTCCTCTACAGATAAGTACAACCTCTCTGCAACTTGACCCCTGCAACTATAATGTGGGGAAGAAGTGGCTACAGCATAGAGGATGAAGAGCTATCTGGGAAGGGTTCAGAACAGCTTGTATTGGAAAATAAACACTAACCATGCATGGAGGACAGGGAGATAGACATGCACCCCCTGGGATTCCAAGAGCCACATTCAGTCAATTTCTTCATTTTATTGGAGCTTCCTGGACCCAGGTCAGCTTTACTTGGTTTTGGAGTCTTCTCTTGCCTCACCTAACCCGAGACCTAGTACCTTGGATTTTTCTGTGACCCATACCTGGGCTGGGCATATGTGCAGAGAACCTCCCAACACTAGGAATTCTGCAGCACTAGGCCCAATCCTTTCTGCTAACATGAAGCAAAGCAAAGAGGGACCCATGATATGGTTGGCACCATCATGCAAATATATCAACCAATATATGCTGCTGCAAACCACAAAATATTGCCACTGCAGGGCCCAGAAATGCCCTGCCATTGTCAGCAAGTGCACTCTGCAATGGCAATGCAGGCAATGTGCCACGGCCAATTGCTAATACTGGTGGAATGTACTGAGGTCCTTTTAAAATTTATACAATATATTTGTATTCATTGAGAAAAATAATTCCCTAACACTAAGATACAAGATCAACTATGCACATCCATGCAATGTGCTATCATATACTTTTTAAAAACTGCTTTCCCCATAAATTAGCAGCACTGAAAAGTATACAAAAGCAAGTCCTATGTAGAAAGAAAAAAATCCCCAACAAAAAAGCTGGGCGTGGTGGCACACGTCTATAATCCCAGCACTTGGGAGGCTGAGGCAGGAGGATAGCTGTGAGTTTGAGACCAGCTTGGGCTACAAAGTGAGGTCTAGGCCAGCCTAAGCTACATTAATGAGACTTTGTCTCAAAAAAAATAAATAAACAAAAATAAAAAATCCCCAACAAAATAGTATAATTTTAATTATTTTAAAAAAAACACTAAAAAATCATATGGTAGGATCCATGTTTAAAAAAAAACAAAACGGGAGGGTGGAGTCGGGGGCCAGGCAACAGTGGCCCAGGACAGGAGCCTTCGGCCTTTACTGGGACCCGCACCAAGCCAGGACGTGGAACACTGAGAAACCAAGCAGCACCCCCACCCCTACCCCCCCACCCTTGCCTGGTGAGCCGTTGTAAGAGTGGCAGGCAATGGCTGCCCAGGACTGGAGCCTCCAGTGTTTTCTGGGACCCGCGCCATGCTGGGACCTGGAACTCAGAGAAACCAAGCAACCCCTCCCCAGCCTGGCGAGCAGCTGTAAGTGTGACAGGCAACAGAAGCTCAGGACAGAAGCAACTGGGACCTGGAGCACCAAGAAACTAAGCAAACCACACATCCCCACCCCTCCCTGGTGAGGGGCTGTGAGCCTGCCAGCGCACAGGCTGAGAATCAAACATCATGCCCCCCCTCCCCACACTTAGCAAATGGGGAGCCAGTGATCTGGACATCCAATAAGAGGCTGACCACAGGCAATGTAGCAAATAGAGGGGATTTCTTTTTACCATCTCTTTGAAGGCAAATACTTCTATCGCTGTTTTGCTTTGTTCTAATTAATGGTGTTATTTTAGCCTGTTTTGTTGTGTTGAACTTCAACAAACATGAAAGTATGGACAGCTATTTTTTTTTTTTTTTGTCTTTTTCCTTTTTATCAATACTGGGGATCGAACACACGACTGCCTGCTTGCAAGGCAGGCGCTTATGCCACTGAGCTAAATCCCCAACCCCAGGACAGTTATTTTGAAGAGAACGAGAGACTACAACGGCCATTAGTGACTTCCCTACTGTCTGGTTTTGAATATCTAAAATGCCTTCCTCACTTTGTTCAGATCAGTTTTATACTATGTTATTTTATATGAATTCTCTGTGTACGAAGACATGGACAACTATTTGGAACAATACAAGAGACAATATGATAGATAGTGAAGATCTCGGGTCATCTTGTTTTGAAATTTATATCTCTTACATTGCTTTCTTTTCTTTTTTTTTTTTTTTATCGGTACAAGGGATTGAACTCACAACTGCCTGCTTGCAAGGCAGGCGCTTATGCCACTAAGCTAAATCCCCAGCCCCTACATTGCTTTCTTATGTCCTATTTTGTTCTGTTTAATTTTACCCCCTTTAAAATAAAATTAAAAAAATATGGGGCTGGGGATTTAGCTCAGCGGCATAAGCACCTGCCTTGCAAGCAGGCAGTCATGAGTTCGATCCCTGGTACCGATAAAAAGAAAAAAGACAAAAAAAAAAAAAATAAAAATAAAAAATAATAATAATAAAAAATAAAATTAAAAAAATAAAACAAAAAACACAGTACTAGGGATTAAGCCCAGGGCCTTCATTCTAAATGACATCTACATCCTTTAAACAATTTTTTTCTTGGCTGTGTATGCTGATGTACTTTCATAACTCCAGCACTCAAGAGGCTGAGGCAAGAAGATTGCTGTGAGTTCAAGGCCTGCCTGTGCTACAGAGTGAGTTCAAAGTCAGTTTGAATTACAAAAAGACAGAAATAAAGGTTTTTCTTTTGAGAGTTTCACTGAGTCAGTAAACTGCTCAGGCCTGGTTTGAAATTGCAATTCTCCTGCCCAGCTTCCCAGAATGCTGAGATTACAAGCATATGCCACCACTGTAGGTACTGGAATCCACTTCTAAAGGTGAACAAGGGAAGGAAGCCCTGGGCAGCATGTGTCCAAATCTCACAATCAGCTCCTGCCACAGCTCCTGGCTCAGAGGGATCTGGAATTTGATCTGGGCACCATTTTGCCATGGTGGGCAGAGCTCATGCCCACCCTGACTACCATGCCATATCCATTCAGGAACCACTCAAGCATGGAAGAGAATCTATAGGTTCAAATTGCTGCAAGCTTGTGAGGCACTTTAATGTTATGTCTTGTTCTTTATGGAAAATGCACAGACTTTAAGGCCGTATTTTCAATGTAGTTCTTGTCCCATGTATTGAGATTATAGGTACATGCCACCTAGGTACACGCCTAGGTGGTGGGATTCCCCTTTTGAAAGTGAGTGGGGAAAGGAAGCCCTGGGCAGTGTGTCTCCAGGCATCACTACTCTGGTCCAGTTTTAGACCAAGTCTAAAACCTGTCCCTATCTGGCCATCTCTAGATTAGGACTGGGTGAACTATACATCCTTTAAGAAAAAAATATCACTTTTGGGGCTGGGGATTTAGCTCAGCGACATAAGCACCTGCCTTGCAAGCAGGTGGTTGTGGGTTCAATCCCCGGCACCGATAAAAAGAAAAAAGAAAATATTACTTTCACTAGGAAAATAGTAAGCACAGTTTTCTTTCTTTCTTTCTTTTTTTTTCTTTTGATACTGGGGATAGAACACAGTACTGTACACTTGCAAAGCAAGGGCTTATGCCACTTAAATCCCTGGCTGTAAATACAGTTTTCAATAAAGACCATCTAGAGAGTCTGGTGTCAGATTGGGTGATGGAGGGATATAAATAAAGAAAATAAAGAATCTTTTTTTTTTTGGTACCAGGGATTGAACTCATGACTTTACACTTGCCAGGCAGGCGTGTATGCCTCTGACCTAAATCCCCACCCCCCCAAATAGAGAATCCCGAACACTGATACAGCCATGTGGGCTGGCCCTATTTGGCCTGTGTGTAACCAGTCAGTCTCAAATTCCTGGGGACCATAGAATGAGCTCTTGGGAGTAGAGTAGCCATCAGAGGCCAGCACAGGCACCCAGAAGGCTTTCAAGGGCCGAGGCCTGGCCTCACACTCTTCATACCTTACTCTTGACTCCTGTATTCCCAGCCAGGATGGTGGGGCAGAGCTTGGTAGGGAGGGCCTGGTGCTTACCAGGAATCAGGCTGCCTGCCCATGGCTTACCTGATGAGGGCGCTCTCCTGCAGGAGCTCCCGGCTGAGGTTTAGGGGGATATCCTCACTGTCTACCACACCTGAGAAGGACAGGGTAAGTCAGGACTCCCCAAGCCTGTGAACTGTCAACCACCACTCAAGTCCTCCTTGCTCTTGACTGGCCCTTCCTCTACAGTCTGACCTTACATGAACCTCATCAGGTAAGAGCCTCCTTCTATCCTGCCTGTTTACTAGCTGGATGAGACACATCTAAGGGCAGGTTGCCTGTGGCCTCAGAAGCCCTAGGACACTGGAAAATACATACTGCATTTTATCTTAAAAATTCTCTCTTTTGGGCAGAGTATGGTGGCTGCCTACCAGTAATCCCAGCACTCAGAGGCTAAGGCGGGAGGATTACTGTAAATTTAAGGCCACCCTGGACTACATGGTGAGGTTATGGCCAGCCTGCACTATACAGCAAGATTCTATCTCCGAAATGGGGTCTTGCTATATAGTACAGCCTGGCCTCAAACTCATGGCAATCTTCCTGCCTCAGACCCCAAGTTCTAGGATTACAGGCACGAGGCATCGAGCTCAGCGCCCCCCAAAATCTTAACTATATAGTGTAACAGTGTGCCTTTGTGATATAGAATTCTAACACTAAACTTTTTTTTTTCTAATTTACAACTTGTACTTTACTTCAATTGTTTTGTCCTTAGTTGAATTTAAATACTGAATTCTTTACTAAACTGTAATCTCAAATTCAACATATTCATGCATAAATCTGACCCTTAACACTAAATGAACTCAACCCAATACCTTCCCACCCCTCAGTAGACCAGCACCTCCTTTCCAAAGGCAAGAGTAAACAGGGGCCCACTCACAGGCACAGGCCCAGCCCATGCCTCACAGCACAAGTATTGGGCCACCATACCTCGGACAAAGCGCAGCCACTTGGGCAGGATGTCTGTAGCCTTGGTCTGAATGAGGACCTTGCGGCTGTACAGTGCCACACTGGAGCCCAGCTCCCTGCTCACATCCAACATGGATGGTTTCTGGGGGGCAAGGAAATACAAGGTCAGGTGACAACAGAAGAAACGTACCTCAGCCACAGAGAGGCAGAGCCTGAAGACAAGATGCCAGAAAGCCAGCCCTCCCAAAGGCTGCCCTGGGTGATGAACCCTATCGGCAAGAAAGGCTGCGGAGACAATGCTGCACCACCATCCCTTATCCCCTCCTCCCCATCTTCTCCACTGGAAGTCTAAGGTCCAGTGAATACACCCCTACCACACTAGGGCTTGTAGGGGTGGGATTGCTGCTGCTCTCCACAAACCACTCCCTGTAAGGTTAAACTACTGAGGACTGGGGCCAGGGATATGGCTCAACGGCACAGTTCTTGCCTGGCAAGCACAATGTTGTGAGTTCAATTTCCGATACCAAAAACTAAACTAAACTAAACTAAACTAATCTAAACTAAAACTACTGAGGACTATATGTCCCAGAGATAGATCCAAATCCTTCTAGAGGTTAGGAGACCACAGGCCTTAGACTAATACCTCACTGCCTATCTATGTATGGCCTAAGGATGATTTTTACATTTTTAAATAGTTGGAGAAAAAAAATCAAGTAAGACTATTTTAAAACATAGGAATGTAATCTTAGTGCCTACAGGTTCACTAACACCCTGCCTTTCTCTTCTGCCATAGCACATTCCAATGGGCTTTTGTACCTTGGCAGCAGGGTCAGCAATTACTATGGTGACTGTGCAGCTGAAAAGCCAAGCTCCTTTTCCTAAGCACTCACAGGACTGCCAGGGCCTATTTCACATTGGCACTGGGTTCTGTCATTCTGTGGGCTCTCATCTGGAGTTTCCTAAAGGCTGAGACTCAGCATCTCTAACCAGTTCCAGGGGACACTGAGGGTCAGATAAAGGCAGGAAGGTTGAAGAACTCCAGGTACAGGGCTTTTTGCTCTAGGACTCAGCTGAGCTTCTGTGTACCCCCATGAGCCAGGGAGATGGAGAGCCAGACAGAGCGCACATAGGGCACTGGCACTAGGAACCTGCCACAGCTTTTTCAACAACATCTAGTAGAAAACCTGATACTGCCCTACACCTCATGGTCTGGCTGGTTGAGAGAGCTCAACAGCTATTCCTATGGCTGTTCCCTGGCACTCTTGTCTGCCTCCAAAAGCCAGCATCCAGCTTGCATGAAAGATGTCACATAAAACATCTCTTCACTGTGCACAAGCAGTGGGAGACTGAAATCACCAATGTTCCACACATAGAAGGCTCTGCTTTCTTTTGCTCTAATCCTGTCAAGTATCAGTGTGGCATATGGGCACACTATGGCATTTGAGGACACTGCTGTGGCTGTGAGGATGTCCTAACTCCAGAGGAGCAGTGGAGTGGCTAAGGGCCATGATGAGGCAAATTGAGCACTTCACCATCTCTGGCACATAGAAGATGCTCCGGATGTTGAGTGGTGCGTCCGTCTTGTAGTGCAGGGTGTAGCGGGGCTTATCATAGGCCTGGGTGATATAGCGGTAGAACTGCTCATGCTGTGACTCACTGAGTCCCTTGGGATCCATCATCCAGATGGCCTACAAAGGGAGACCGATGGGGAGACATATTTAAAACATTTTCCCAGTGGCTGCATGGAGTAAACTAGTAGAGCACATTCCCCTAGAGTGGCCTTCTGGCACAGACGGGCAGGGTCTTAAGGACAGACTTCTCCCTCAGGTTCTCCTGTTCCAGGGCTAGTTTAGGGGCAGAGGAGACACACACAGTGCTCTGGAACAAGTGCCCCAGCAGGGTTAGGAGGAAGAGGTTTGGAGCTGAGGGTAAAAATAATGATGCTATCTACTGGGTAGGCTGATGAACAAAATGGAGCCCCTTTAGTAGAGTATCATTTAGCCATGACAAGGAACAAAGCACTGATATAAGCTAAAACATGGCTGAAACTTGAAGACATTAAGCTCAGTAAAAGAGCCAGATTTGGGGCTGGGGATTTAGCTCAGTGGCATAAGCACTTGCCTTGCAAGCGCATGGTCGTGAGACTGATCCCCGGTACTGATTAAAGAAAAAAAAAAAAAAAAGAAGCCAGATCCCAGAGGCCATGTGTTATATGATTCCATGTATATGAAATGTCCAGAGCAACAAAGAAAGTAGACTGTGGCTGCCAGGGGGCCAGGGAAGGGTGCGCAAGAGGGAGTGCCTGAGGACAAGGCTGCTTTATAGAGGGATGAAAATGTTTTAACACTGGCGGTGGAGGAAGCTGCACAATGCGGAATGCACTGAACATGACCAGGTAGTGTACTGATCTGTGGGATGTATGGATTACACCTCATGAGCTCCTGGCTGGCCATGTATAGACTGGGATGTGCTGGGGTCAAGGACCTGTGCCCTCCCTCCCCCTTTCCTCTCCATCCCTTGTCACCTGTGCTCTTCCACCAAATATGTGTTTTGGGTGTACTTATTTGTCTCCATACTGCTCAAGCCCTGTAGGCAGCTCAGGGCCTCACCTGCAGGGTGTTAATGCGTCTTCCATTGAGATACAGGGGGAAGCTGACGAAGTTACTGTATTTTGTTACCACATCTGTAGGAGACAGAGACAATGGTGAAGACCTGAGGATGCAAGGTGAGCATAGCCTGCTGGGAAGAGTGGGCCCACGCTGTGTCATTTCAAAGAACTAGGGCACTACAAAGACACCCGTGTTACCTGGGTCACATGGCAGGTAGCAGAACTTGAAGGAGATGACCTCTTGAATCTACCTTAAGACTATGAGGCCCTCTGGCAAAGGACCAGGCCTGATGGGGTAATGCTATGTCCAGGAAATACTTAGCAATCTTAACCAACTCTCAATGAGATCCAGAGAAAGACACAGCTCACAGAAGGATCTGACTCCCTCTGGCCCTCAGTAACACCTGGGGTCAGAAGCTCCACCAGGCAGGTAAGGGACACCCTAAGATCTCACAGAAGGACAAACTTCATCAAAAGCACCATTAATTGAAAGTGGTACCCAGTGCACAATAAGCCTTGGCCTTCAAGGTCCCCAGCACAGACCCAATAGGGGTTCCTCTTCTACTAACCCAGGGGCCAAACTCTGAAGTTTGGTACTGCTCAACTATGCCTACACGCTGCTTATGCAGGTGGAGCCTGGTGAATGTACTTGTGCTCACCCTTCCAAGTCCCAGCTCCCTCACCTTGAACACGGGACTCGCTGGCAAACTCTCTGCAGTCTGATTTGAGGTGGATGATAATTTTGGTTCCGGTTCTAACACCTGAAGCTTCAGCAATTTCAAACACCCCAGAGCTACGACACAAAGGAAAGGACCAGCCAGTTCCACACATTACTACCTACAAACCTTTGTATGTAAATCTAGTTTACTGGAATTTTCCCAAGATACATGCAAAAAGGGCATGCCCCTAGGGTGAACCCCAGAAGAGCCTGTCAGACCACCAAATGGACAGTAGGGATGAGGACCATTGGCTGCAGTATCATGTGTGAGTCCCTCAGCTACCTTCCAGCTAATTCTCTTTCTAGAAGAACCTCCAAGGCATGTATGACTCAACAGATCTGGTGCGTTGGGGCCTGGGCCTGCTCATATGTGCACCAGATGCCTGGGGAAAAAAAGACTACCTACTACATTGTTTCTGAGTCTGGTGGAGGGGTGGGCTGAGAATAGCAGAGAGCAAGGAGAGGGGATGCCCCAGGTGGGGCCTCACCGACACCTGGCTATGTTTACACTGAATACTGCTTTCATTGAATTTATGGACCCTCAGTCTGGGACTGGGGCAAGTGCGAGTTTTATCAGGGCCAAACTCCTGCCCTTAGGGTGCTGCTAGATGCAATCAGCAGCATATGATTCAAAAGCGAAATTTTGGGGTTAAGGAAAAATCTTTAAATTTGGCTGTGGTACCATTGTCCTCAAGCATCTCAAATACCTCAAACACTTGGAAGTTATTTTAGAACATTCGCCTAATCATTCTGTCAGACAGATATGATCTCCAAGTATCCCAGAGGATTCTGGTCTGGCCAAACAGAAATAGGTGATAAGGTCACTCCATCCATGGAGAAGCCCCAGGGAGATGTGCCCCTCTGAGTCTAGCTAGGTGGCAGTACAGGAGCTCCATGGCACACAGGCTAGAGGAAGATACTCAGTGGGGCACTGGGAGAAAGGTCTTATCATTGCATCGAGAAGCTCAACCTGGACAGGTCAGTACTGTAGAGCAGAGCTGGTGAGGGCCATGAGGTTTTTATGACCCCAAAGGAACTCCTTTGAAAACTTCATGCGAACAGCCCAGAACATGTCTGTTTGCATTTCCTCAGTTTCCAAAGTTATTGGTCACTTTCAATTTGCACATCATGTAATACTGACTCTAAGTATCACCAAGGACAGAACCACTCCCTATGTGAAGAGGCCTGTTCCTCCCTTACTCACCCATCTGAAAGCCACTGGTAGCCGGGGCTCCCTGGGGTTGCAGAGCGGGAATAGACTTCCACTCTATCAGCCACCATGAAAGCTGAGTAGAAACCCACTCCAAACTGGCCAATAATCTTGCTGCTGGCCTCTGTCTGGTTCTGCAGTGCTTCCAGAAAGGCCTGTGGTGGCAAAGAGTAGTCAGGAGGAGACTGCTGCTTTCTGTACTGGAGCCAGCACACATGACTTCTATGCATGTTCCTTCAGCACGTGCCAGGACCCATTAATTCTGAAACAATGACATTGACACTCCCCACCACCATTTTGTACATAAACAACCAAGTGATGCTGGGCATTGTAGCACATGCCTGTAGTCCCAACACTAGGGAGGCTGATGCAGGATAACTGCCAGGAGTTCAAGGCAAGCCTATACTACAAAGCAAGATCTTGTCTCAAGAAGAAGGGAGCAGGGGGAGAAGAAGGGGAGAGGGAAAAGGAGGAGGTAGAGTAGGAAAAACTAGTAAGCACCCTCTTCAGAGCATCTGTGTCAAGTTCCTGCCCAATGTGAAAGTGCCAAATGACTGCAGAAAAGCAAGGAGGTGGTATGGAGCATTCCAGACTTTAGACAACAGTGAACCTATGGACTGTGGTTTATAGCTCTGGACAGAGTGCTCCCTTCAACCTTTTCCATGTGTAAACTTCACATGTTACCTGAAACTACTAGAGGTTCCCATGGCACTAAAGTGGAACAAGGTCATAAGCATCCCCATGGTGCCCCCCTCATGGAACTCATTTGGTCACGTCTTACTCCATTTTGGTCCCTTAAAGGAGAGAGGCTGGGCCTGTGCTTACCTTTGAACCTGACCTGGCAATTGTGCCTAGGTTAGATACCAGCTCTTCCTGTGTCATTCCAATGCCAGTATCCTGAGGATAGAGACACTAAATGTCAAGTACAGTTCTGGGAACTGAGGTGATGGCTATAGTCAGTGCCTCTGTGCAATGGAGCTCTTTTATACTCTACCCCCGGGGCTCAGCAGGGCACACCTGCCTGGGGCTTCTCCATGGATCGAGTGGTCCTGTCACCCATTTCTGTCTGGCCAGGCCAGAATCCTCTCTGAGATAGTGAGAGATGATGTCTCTCTGACAGAGTGTTAGGTGGACATAGGTAGCTTCACTGATACTAGCCAGATGGGCCAGGAAGCACACCCCATGCTCATCAGAAAAGCCTAAGTCCAGGCATGTCAATCCCAAATCTTCAGAGAAAATTGGAAGGGGTGGGAGGTTGACATATAACAACCCTGGAGCTGGGTGTGGCTCGGTGGTAGAGCATGTGTTTATTAGCATATGTCAGGACCTGGATTCAATCCTAGCACCAAAAATATGAATGAATAAAAGCCAATCCTGGGTTGGGGATATAGCTGAGTGGTAAAGTGCTTGCTTAGCATTCACAAGGTCCTGAGTTCAATCCCCAATACCACACCCACACACCCACACACCCACACCCACACCCACACACACACACCAATCCTGACAAGATACTAAGTCAGCAACTCGGAGGAAAATGTATAACACTTGTCCTGGAGGTGAGGCCCTATCCACATACCCTGCCTAGCTCTGGTTCCCTCCTTTGATGGCTTTCCTAGTAGGGGCAAGGACTACAGCTCCTTGGGAGAAGCAGGTAGGGAGACACTGCTGCCCTCACCACCGCTCTCTCAGAGCAGCTGCAGCGTTGCAGCTCTTCCCCTCCTACAGCAGGCTGCTATGCTCTTAATGTGAGGTCAGCCAAGTGATGGTGTCAGGTGGTGGGACTTTGGGAGGTGATCAGTTCATGAGTTACTGTTTTCAGGAATAGGTTAGTGAATGCCATTAAAAAAGAGGCCTCGGGTTGGGGATTTAGCTCAGCAGCTTAACCGCCTGCCTTGTAAGCAGGCACTTGTGAGTTCGATCCCTGGTACTGATAAAAAGGAAAAAGACAAAAAAAAAAAAAAAAAAAAAAGTTAAAAAAGAGGCCTCTATTGTTTCCTGAGTATAAGAAATTGAAAGAGTAAGTAAGATCGAAAATAGGTATTATGAAAAGAAACTGCTCAAAAGGTAGGCGCAGCTGGCAGAGTGGAAAGGAGAAAAGAACGAAGGGGAAAAAAAATACATATATATATATATATATATATGTATTGTGTGTGTGTGTGTGTGTATATACACACAAGATAGCTAAGATAATTTTATTTTTTTAGATAATTTTACTACTCATTGTATTAGTTCACTGAAAGGAACAGTTAGTACTTACATTGTCTGATCAATTTTGCATGCATATATCTGGTAATCTGTGCATTTAAGACAACAATATGCAATATCATAACCATTGTTAGTGCCCTAGCATTTTTCACCCCCGTACCAGGATCAAACTCACAACCTCACACTTACCAGGCAAGCATTTGAGCCACTGAGTTAAATCCGGGGTCCCCTATCATCTTGTTTTGAAATTCTGTATCATTTCATTTTGTGATTTTATTTTTTGTTTTTTTTAAAATTCTCTTTAAAAGAAAAAGAGGACTCTGGGCCAAGATTATAGCTCAGCAGCACAAGTACTTGTCTGGGAAGCACAAGATCCTGTGTTTGATTCCCAGTGGCAAAATAAATAAATAAATAAACAAAATAAAATAAAAAAAGAGGCCTCCAAGTCAGACACAGGTGATGCACACCTGTAATTCCAGTACTTGGCAGTCAGATGCAGGAGGAAGCCTGTACTACACAGTAAGATACTGTCTTAGTTCCCCACCCACCCCAAAAAAGGCCTCTGGAGAGCTTATTCGTCCCTTCTGCTAGTAGAAAATACAGAGAAAGACACGTCCACTAGCAACTTGACTGTGAATTTCCTCTTTTCCAGAACTGTGGTGACAAACTATTGTTTATAAATTACCCAGCATGCTGGGCATGGTGGTGCACACCTATAATCCAAGCATACGGGAGAATGAGGCAAGAGGATTACTCCAAACTGAAGGTCAATCTAAGCCACGTAGTGAATTCATGGCCAGCTTGAACTACATAGTGAGACCCTGTCACAAACCAACCAACCAACAAATGAACAAAACAAAACAAAATTACCTAGCCTAAGGTATGCTGTAATAGCATCCCAAATAAATTAACATACAGGCTAGGGTGTCTGTGAAACGTCAAGGAAGGCTGTTTCTGCTTCAGAGTATAGATGGGTTCCACTTAGAGTTCCTCCCTCCCCATCATGACAATCTAAGTGCACCAAGCTCACCTGTGCTATGCCACACAGAATACCCTAACTAGGGCAGTTTGCCACCAAATTGCCATCAACTTCTGAACTGAGTAAAAAAAACTCAGAACAGTTTCTACTTGATTCTAGGAAGCTATTTTTAAATGTTTTATCCTGAGGACAGCATGCAGGGGGCCCTGTGGCCCTATGAACAAAGGACACACAGGCATAGTGTCAGATAAGAATTTCAACAATATTCAACTTGTAACACAGGATGAGACACTGTGCAGGCACCAGATTCCATCACTACGATTACTGCAGTGCACTCAGGCATGTGCACAGGCTCCAGGGCTCAACACAGGATGGGACACCAAGAGGTTTCGAGTACATTTTCTTTGAGATACTGGCAGGAAGATCCCAAATCTTGCCAATATATTTATTGAGAACATAAAATAATTACAAATAAAGAATAGTTTAAAATTAGTTTCTAGTTAGCACTAATGATTAAATATAATTTACTTTTTTTCTTTTTTTGATACACGGTCTCCATAAGTAGTTTAGGCTGGTCTCAAACTTACTATGTTGCCAATGCCTCCAGAGCTGTGACTATAAGCATGTACCAACACACCCAGCTGAAACATAATTTATGTTCATTGATGTAGAACTTTCAACAATATCCCAAGAGAAAGGTTCATGTTAGAATGATGTAAGAAAAGCTATCTAAGGGGCTGGGGATTTAGCTCAGCGGCATAAGCGCCTACCTTGTAAGCAGGCAGTCGTGAGTTCGATACCCGGTACCGATAAAAAGGAAAAAGACAAAAAAAAAAAAAGAAAAGCTATCTAATAATTTCTGCATTTGGTTTCTTCCCAAATTAAACTACAGACTCATTGCAATCCCTATGAAAATCTGCAGGTTTTATAGAAAATGACAAACTGATATTAAAATTTATACAATTCAGAGAACCCGGCAAGCACTGAGCCACATCCCCAGTCCTTATTTATTTAGAGATACAGTCTTGCTAAATTGGATGACTTTAAGCTCGTGATCTTCCTGCTTCAATCTCCTGAGAGGTAGGATTAAAAGTGTGCACCACTATGTCTGGGTTGGAATATTCTGAAAAACAACAAAGTTGGAGAATTTATACTACCTAATTTTAACTTACTATAAAGCTACAATAGTAAAACAGTACAATGTAACTGCTTTAGGATGGACAGAGTATACAGATCAAAGAAACAAGCATCCCAGACAGAGACACAGGAGACATGCTACTTGATTTCTGACCAGGTCCCAAAACAATGCAGTGGGGATGGAAGTCTTTAAGCAGATGATGCTACAGCCAGCCACAAGAACAAAATTAGTTTCAACCCTGACCTCACATCATATGCAAGCATTTGCTTGAATCTAACTGTAGGAGCAAAAGGTATATAACTTCTCAGAAGAGTCACGTGGTGGGCATTCCTGTAATCCAAGCTATTTTAGAGGCTGAGGCAAAAGAACTGCAAGTTCAAGTTTTGCCTGAAAAACTTAGTGGGATCCTATTTCAAAATAAAAAACAGCAAAAAAGCCAGGTGTGGTATCTGTAATTCTAGTACTCAAAGGCTGAGGCAGAAGGATCACTGAGAGTCTGTGAGTTTGAGTTCAAGCCAGCCCAACTTGCACAGTGAAACCCTGTCTCAAAGAAAAGCAAAAGGGCCTCAGTGTCAGAATGTCCCTATGTTTAATCCTTGGTATCCAAACAAACCAACCCCCAAAATATCCTTGTTAAAAAAATTGGAGAAAACTTCGCCTTTATAGGAGAAACTTAAAAATTTCTTTGAATGCATGAAGCATAAAAGAAAAAGTGGTAACTTGACTTAACTTCAAATAAAAATTTGGGCTAGGGGTATAGCTCAGTGGTACAATACTCGCCTAACATTTAAGAAGGCCTGGGTTCCACCCCTACCACTGCATTCACACACACACATACACACACACTCATAGTTACAAAACTCTTAAAAATTAAAAAACTTAAGAAGCTTGGGGATGTAGCTCATGGAGCTCTTGTCTAGAATGTACAAGGTCCTGGGTTGGATCCTATGCATAGGTAAAAGAAAAAACAAAAAACTTAAATTAAGCAATAAGCAGCAACAATAAGGATGACAAAAAGCTTTTTGCCCTTGAAAAAATACCACTAAGTTAATAAAAAGGCAAGCCACACACTGGTGATTTTACATTTACTTCTCTTCTGCCTCCTACAGTTTCCAAATTTTCTATGATAGACAAGTACTAATTTACAGTAAATTAGAACAAAAGTCTCAAGACAGGAAAGATGATCAGTACCACTTGAGCCAGACATAACTAGAATGCTGTGTGACCTTTCTATGTCAGCATGTAACTCAGAACCACTGCTCCCAGGTTGGCCTGATCACCCTCTGTAGACATGACATTTGCCATACACCTGAGCTCTGAGAAGGAAGTACCTGGATTGTGATGGTTCCTTTCTCAACATCAGTCTGCAAGTGAATCTCCATTTCTGGCAATGTTTGGCCGTCAGATACCAGTTTATGGCGCAGTTTTTCCAGGGCATCACTAGCATTGGAGATGAGCTCCCGTATGAACACCTAGAAACGGAAGTAGGAAGAAGGAGGGTGAAGGGCTCTGTGGATGTGGCTGACTGGCTGCATTTCAATAAATGAAAGTCAGAATCCATCACAGAATATCCAAGTCTTCAGAAACAGAGTCCCATTGCAGTCAGATAGCTCTTCTGGGCAGGCCACCTAACAACTAAAGGGGGAGGGCTCACTACTCCTCAGCACAGCTTTTTGTGGAAAGCTGAGTCTGACTGATCTTTCCTTTTAGGATGTTCACTTGAGCCTAAAGTTATGTGTCTGTTAACTCAAACTTAAGAAGAATCCCAGGGGAGCCACTTCTTTCCCAATTCTTGCATAGAGATGATATCCCACCCCATCTCTTTCCTACTCCATGAAAAAAGATTTGCTGCTTCATTTCATCTAGTATAGGTGATCAAATACCAGAGCCTCCACGCTCCACAGGAAAGGTGGCCACAGCCCCTAAAGTCTTCTCTGGGTCTAAAAGCCAATTTCATCTCACACAGAGCTTCCACTCAAGTGCTGTAGCTCATGAAGCACACAGGCAGGTTGGTGACCAGACAGAACAAGACCTGGACACATTTCCTAAAAATCCCCTCTGAAGCCAGGGATTTAGCTCAGCAGCCTAAAAGCCTGCCTGGCAAGTGCAAGGTTGCCCGGCACAAAAATAAATAAATAAATAATCCCCTCTGAATTTAGTAGTATTATGCTTTACTTTTTTTTTTTTTTTTTTGTCTTTTTCGTTTTTATCGGTACCAGGGATCGAACTCATGACTGCCTGCTTGCAAGGCAGGTGATTATGCCGCTGAGCTAAATCCCCAGCCCCGCTTTACCTTTTTCAAAGTCTTCCTAGCATCTCAGCAGTCATCAGTTTGGAACTGAGAGCCTATCTGATCTTCGCTACTTTTTTCTAAGTCCTGTAAACTTCTAAATGAGTTTTAACTCCCTCCAGGCCCCACGTAAAGCAGGGCTGTCTTTTTCCTCAACTGCTGACTCCTCCTGTAACAGGTGAAGATGCAAACAAACACAAGGGCCCTTGAGCACCCCAACAGAAGAACCCCATGACAGTGTCTAGGGGATTTAAAAATCAGCACAATTCAATTAACTTCTAGAATAAATCTGGCTCAAAGAATCATCTGCATATACTTATTCATGAAACCAAAACAGATTTTGGAAAAATATTCTCACTAGCAGATTAAAATCAAGGCCTGTCCACAGCCTAACACATTTTCACAGCTAATATAAGACCCACTCTTTCCCTAGAATAGTTCAAAGCAGGTCTGCCAGAACACTTGCTAGCCCTGGGAGGTGTAAACATGCACCTACCTCTTTTTCTGAGTATAAGGAACAGGCCACAATGTCCAACAGCTTCTTTGTCTCTGCCTGGAACTCATGTTTGGAGCTAGAACCTGGTAATGAATTACAGATACAACCAATAAAATTTCAGTTCTATATTATGGAAGAACACGTTACACATATTCAGAAGGAGGCTTAAAGGTTGAATTTTAAACATCTATGAAGAGCAAACAAAAAAGTCAACAGGAACAGAGTTTCTCAATTGAGGAGGTCTCAGGAACAAGACACCAGGTGGCTCCTTTCTCAGCTGAGGCCAAAGGAACCTCTCATAGACCATAGGCCTCATGAGTTCACACAGGCTTTCCTAACAACCAGACCCTGTGTTAGTTTAAAAAAAAAAAAAAAAAAGACAGTGTTCTAATACATTATTTAGAAAGCAAAATAAAAAGAAAACTTTGCTTTTCTTCTTAACACTTCTTTTCATCTCACTTAAAAGCCAGAAATGGAGCCTGGCTCAAGTCTGCCTTTCCACAAAGCAGTCCTGCCAAGTGGGGCCAATGCTCATTTCCTGTCCAGTTTTCCTGATTAGTAGCAGATGTGTCATGTACTGCCACCGGGCAGATTCCTGAGCTACCACCAGAGGGTGCAAGATGCACCCAGAGAAAACCAGAAGTTCCTAACGGGGAAGGAAATGGATACTATAATCTGGGACAACCCAGACCTGAGTGTTGCTGGGTCAAGAGGTACTACCTCTACCTTAAACCTGTCCTTTGTGAGCTGGCAGTGAACCAAGAAAGGCTACATAGATCAGCTCTGGTGAGCACCTACCCTGTACCACCTCCGTGCTGCTTATGATTGAGTGCAGGGGCTCTTCCTTCTTGTCCTCAGCAGCCTGTGTGCTGTATAACTGTCTTGCATAGAAGCTAGAAGTTAGCTGTTGCCAGTGGCTCTTAAGCTGGACTGTGGATCTCTGAGGACACAGAATTGGTTTTCCTGAAAAGACAAAAGTGCAGAAAGGATGAGAATTAATATTCAGGAGCAGAATGTCCCAATTCATCCACATCTAGTCTGCGAAGCAGAGACTACTGTGGACTTCGCTAACTCAGGCTGTTCAACAGCAGGATGAAAAGTGATAAATGGGGCCGAGGATATAGCTCAGTGGCATAAGGGCTTGCCTGGCAAGTGCAAGGTTTTGAGTTTGATTCCTGGTACCAAAGGGGAAAAAAAGTAATAAACATCACATAGCTGCTACTGTTCAATCTGAAATCTGGTAACATTCCCTTACTTATAAGTGGGTTTTACTGAAAAGCAACTAATCCTCTGTTCTACCTGGCAACCAGGAAGAGGATCAGACTCATTTAACATGACTTCCTGTATAGCATCAAGGGCCCAGAAGCCTTCTGGAAGAGCAAAGTGAGGGGTGACATAGCTCTGGTACTATGTCTATGTCTCTACCTGACGCGGTCTAAACTCGTCCTCCACAGCCTTCAGAATCACAGAAACCAAATAGACCCTGCACTCTACCCAGCAGGCAGAACTGAGTCCTGGCATCACTTGCTAGCCCCACATGCCAGCAGGTCAGAGCCCCAAAGCTGCTTAGCAGATATCCAATAGACAAGTGGCTTCAAGGATATTACTTTCCTGTGGACAGTTAGATCTCAACAAATGCCCGGTGCTCTTCTTTGCAAATGTGTAATGGATGGAAAGGAACAATGCAGAATGACTAGAAATAAAGAGGTTTTTTTAAAAAAAATTTTTTTTGTCTTTTTGAGACAAGGTTTCACTATGCAATTCAGGCAAGCCTGGATCTCCCTTTGTAGCCCAGGCGGGCCTTGAATTCACAGCCATCCTCTTTTTTTTTTTAAAATCTTTTTTAGCTCCCTCTACATCACATTGGGAAGGCCAGAGACAGGCCTCTCAGGGTGGTTACCTAAGCAGTGTCATCATCACTGTTCTTTCCCTGTGCTGGCCATGTGGCTCAGTCTGCTCTCCTGTCCTTTAGATACTACCCTCACCCAAACCCTCATTCCTCACACTGCAATGAGTTCAAAAGCTTTCCCATCAGTTCCCTGGCTTGTGACCCATCCCTTAACCTCTGTAGGGCCATTTCTGATATCAGTATCACCTTACTTCCCAGAAGGCAGAAGTTTTATTCCTGACTACATCTCCAGGCTAGCATTCCAGCCCATCCATCTCATAATCCTTAAATCCTGCCTTGCCCTCCAACAGGTGTGCACGACTCCTGTGCCCACATTGGGTGGTCACCACTCACACTCCTTCTAGTACTGAGGCCTCACCTCTTCTCCTTCCACCACTGACACACAGAGGGCACTTAACTTCCTGTACACATGCCCAGGAACAGGAGACAACACTGCAACCCCACAGGAAAAGGCTGGCTCTCCTTGCTAGTGGATCCCTCTCAGAGCCCAGGCATTGTTGGTCCCCTCTGTCATCAAAGAAGATGATTTCTTGAGGGCCATTTGACTCTCTTCCTGTCCCACTCCCATTCTGCTGGGAGGCCTTTTCCTTACTATTCATCTGAGTCCTCCTCACAAAACCAAAGGGTATATTCCTTCCCTACCTTGCTCAGGTGAAAGCATCCTATCCCAAAAGGAAACTAAAATCAGGAAAAATTGAAAAAGAAGAGGCTTCGAGCCTCCTACAAGCCACCTGTTCACTTGCTCTTGGAGTAGGGAAGCAATTTCTTCATGACCAGGATACTTTTCTGTATTTCAGTATCTTCCACACAGTTACTATAATTAAGAGTGTTGAGACATATCTTCTTGTGGATACTATTCAAACCACAGTAGTTATCAACAAGATATATATTAAGTTCCTGTGGCTACCAAAGAAAAGTACCACAAAAAACTGGGTAGCTTAAGCAACAGCAATGTATCTTTCAGAGTAGGGATGAGGCTTGGTGGTACAGCACTTGTTTAGCATGAGCAAGACCCTAGGTTCAATCCCCAGTACTGTGTTTGTGCTTACACACATACTGTCTCCCAGCTATGGAGGCCAGAAATCTGAAGTCAAGGGGTGGGCAAGGCTGGCTCCTCATGAGGGTGAGGCAGGGTTTTTCCCCAGGCCTCTCCCAGTTTTTGTGGTCTCAGACAAAACACACTTGTAGACACCTGCCCTCTCCAGCTTGCTCTGTGTCCAATTTCTGTGTTCAAATCTCCCTATAAACACATTAGTGGTACTGGGCCAGGACCAATCCTAATAACCTTAGTTTATCTTAATTCCTGCAAAGACCCTTATTTCCAAATAAGGTCACATGCACAGTGACTGTGAGGACTTCAGCATCTTTTGGAGGAAATCCAAGCCCTAAATTCTATATAAGAAATGGGAGGAAACAGGTAGCAGAGGAAAACATGAAATTTCTGAATATATTTTTATGTACCTGATTCTTAGAACCAGAGTAATCATCCTCGCCCCAATGTAGGAGATTAAACCTAAAGTCTTCACAATGAGTTACATCTCAGTCCTTTTGAAAAAAAAATAAAAATTTCTAAACCAGGCATGGTAGCACACACTCATAACCCCAGCACTCAGGAGGCTGAGGTAGGGGGACTGCTGCAAGTTTGTGGCCAGCCTGGGCTACATAGTGAGTTCAAGGTCAGCCTGAATTACGCAGTGAGACCCTGTCTCACAAAATCAAAAAAAAGGGGATGGTGGCACACACTGGTAATCCTAGCACTTAGGAGGCTGAGAAAGGAGGATTACCAGGAGTTTGAGGCCAGCCTGGGCTACAAAGTAAGTTTAAGACTAGCCTGAACTATATAGTGAAATCCTGCCTCAAAAAAGATATACCGCCCCCCCAAAAAAGGCCAGGTGTGGTGACTCACACCTGTCATTCCAGAACGCAACAGGCTTGGGCTGGGAATTTAGCTCAGCAGCATAAGCACCTGCCTTGCAAGCAGGTGGTCGTGAGTTCGATCCCTGATACCGATAAAAATGAAAAAGACAAAACAAACAAACAGAAAAAACAAACAAACGCAACTGGCTCAGGCAGGAGGATGGCTGTGAGTTCAAGGCCACTCTGGGCTACAAAGTGAGTTGAAGGCCAGCATGAACTGCACAGCAAGACTGTCTCAGAGACCAAAAAAAAAAAAAATTTTTTTTTTTGAGACAGTGTCTCACTAAGTTACTTAGGATGTGGACTTAGAACTTGCAAATCTCCTGCTTCAGCTTGCCAAGTAACTGGGGCTACAGGCATGTACCACTGTGCTCAGCTACAGTCATGTTTTAAATGAGTCATTAAGACTAAGCAAGGAGGCAGGCATGGTGGCACACGGTGTCTAGGCAGGAGGATTAGCCCGAGTCTGAGGCCAGCCTGGGCTACACAGTGACTTCAAGACCAGCCTGAACTACATGACAAGAACCTGTCTCAAAAAGAAAAAAGAAAACGAAACAAACAAACAAAAAAAACCCACCAAACCCCCAAAAAACTAAGTGAATAATACAGGAACACACAAGAAAACAAACAGTGGCAAAGTTGCATAACTATTTGGACACTATAACTACATCGAAAAAAAGACAAGAACTAATCTAAGCAACCTCAGACAATGGTATTTGGACTGTATACTGTAACACTAACCTCAAAAAGAACTGTATCCAACTGGTACATGAGAGCTGTAAATCTGTTTATCAACATGAATCAGCAAGCCTGAAAGTGTTATCAGTATACACTAAAATCCAGTAAGGAAATACAGGTGATGAATGAGCCTGGCTCCTCACTACTGGGGAAGAATTACATACAGGGACAGAGGTTGGCCATATATACCTTGTAGTGCTGTGTCATGTGGGGATATCATATGAGCTTGGTATCTCTTGTCTACATAGATTGTGGATACAGAAACCAATGTGGAAATATGTGAATCTGTGGGTGGGCACATATATACATACTACCAGGCTCAGCCCCTTGACAGGGCAAAGGAGTGATGATACTCAGAAGCAACAGGCAAACCCAGGCTAGAGTCAGTAGCCCAGAACTGCTGCACTTAGTCCTTGAAAATCCACCCATGGCAGGAAGTCCCTTGGTCCCAGGAAACCTAGGATGGTTGGCCACCCTATCCTTTTCTAATAAAAGGACCAAGGGCTCTGTAGAGAATGCACAAGATGAGCTTGGTGCATCACGTGGTAAGACGGTAACCCTGGACTCAGAGATGATGTGGGTAGGGCAAGGGTATCCAACAGCCTGATCTGAAGGGACTCGCAACAGTAGAGCCTGGGACAATCTGGGCAAAAAGATAAAATGATAGCAATGGATTAAAAATTATATATCAGCAGTTGGGAATAGTAGTACTCCCTACAAGCCTAGCATTCTAGGAGGCTGAAGCAGGAAGACTGAAAGTCCAAGCTCTACCTAGGCAACTTAGTGACTTAGTGAGAGACTGCTCAAAATAAAAAAAAAAAAGGGCTGGGGGATGTAGTTCAATGCAAAGACCACAGGGTTCAATCCCTGAACCACAATAAATAAAATAAATTAAAACCCTGCAAACAAAATATTAGCCCACATGTAAGTAAACAGAGAATAATGGGCAGTTTTTCCTCAAGTTTGAGAATAAATAGAAAGGAACAATGGAAAAATTATCATGAGGAAAACACTATAGTCATAATTGCAGCAAGTATAAGTAGGCAATGAATGTTCATCACAGAATGTTCACATAATCTTAAAACACTCTTTTCACACACAAAGTATTTATTCCAAAGAGCAAAGTGGTACTGCTGCAGTGGAGAAAGAGGTAGTGCCCACTTAATAGGTGACTACTATCATCAGGTGAGATGTGCCAACATTGCGTGAATGACATAGCCTCTTTTCTGCTGTCTTCTTCACAAAGCTGCATCTCTGTCTAATCATGGGACACCAGTGAACAAACCCAAATGAACAGACATCCTGTAAAATGAGTGGCAGAACTCTTCTTAAGTGTTATGGTCCTGGAAAACAGTCTGAGGTGTGCTCACAGACAAGATCCAACCAGGATTCCCTAAAA